TTCCAATACAGGAGTTCGTGACCTTTTATGTTTGTTAATGTGACGCCATGGAAATTATTTATAATAAATAAGCATATTTCAGAGTCAGGTGTTCCATGGGCCCTTTTTCAGTGATACAAGAGCCTTTCCTGAAACAGGTCTTTCCTGTTTTGTTGTAGGGGTTTTTTTCCCTTAACAATGAAGGTTTGGGAACAGTCTGAAACCCTGTTATTGAACTAAGTCCAACTATTGCACTGAAAGGTAGACAGTAACATTTAAGATAATTCATCTTTTGCATCTTTCCTGAAATCAGTGGCAGATAAGGTTCTAACTTTCTCTTTTATCCTGAACCCTGGAAAATTTAATTTTTAAACTGCAGACTGTATAAAAATATTGTTTTTCAGCATCAAATCAATGAGGAAACTACTGGAATTGTTTGGATCTAAATGATACATTCGATATGCCAACTGATTTTTAATGTAGCAAGCTCATTTTAAAGCTGGACTAGAACCACCTATCCACAGTCTTCCAGGTATAAGACCTATAGAAAATAACTGAGGATGGATGTCAGTATGTTGATAACATTTAGTCTTGTCTTTTTTCAGTAGGTGTGACAATGTCCTCCCAAACCTGTGCCAGATTAAGAGCATCTGGCTCTTAATGAAGTCAGACAAGAAAAGGATAAGATTAGAAAACACTGCAAGGAGCATGCCTTGGCTCTGTTACTTACTTTTTGCAACTACTCATAGAGGTTTATAACCCCTCCTGAGTTTATTGGATTCATCATCTTGGATCCCTAGACATCATCAGCAGAAAGAAATGTCTCCTGAGGAGAAAATAGAACTATTTGCTCCTGCACCCAGAGTCACTTCTGTTCATCACTCTGGGCTGAAGCTGATGGCCTATCCAGAGCAGCACCCTTGTGCCTCAGTGATTATCCACCCTGGAACCTTTCCCCACCTTTGGACAGTTTGGGGCTAGCAGCCACTGGCAATGTTAAAGGCCACTGTATAGTGCAGAAGCAACTGCTGCACCTCACACAGATGTGGGACTGGCTGTGGAGAGACAGGACCAAAGTGTTCTCATGCACAAAGGATGAGCCCTCCTTGGATTTATTATCATAATGTATTAACGGTGTGTGTGTGTGCAAAGAATATCTGCCTTACAGCATAAGGCAAAACATAATAAACCAGAAAATCTATTTTCAAATTCATAGTGCATCAAATCTGAATGAGATTAAGAGAGTGTCTAATTTGAACAGCAGAGTATCTCCATGTAATTGCTTGTCTAGGCATTGTATCAACCTTTTCAAATGGTACTGGACATTGTGCAATAAAGCTGTCCTTCTGCAGCTCTGTGGGAGAAGGCAACTGGCTGCAGTCTCAGATGGTGGACAGAATTACAGCAGGTAATGTTAAGAAAGTGTGAGGTTAAACATACATTTGATAAAAGGAGAAAATAAAAAATAATAGTCACAGACTGAATTATAACAGCTTTCTATAATGAAGTGTGTGGACCACACCCATCATCTGTAGCAGAGGAGGGAAGGTGTCAGCTAAACCCAAAGGTTATGATGGGAATGGAAGAAAAACAGGCTCCAGCTGAGAGCAGGACAAGGAGGATGAGGAAACAGTTTCATGTTTCTCCCAAAAAACCCTCAGGGGACAAAGATTACTGCTGAAAAAACTTTAATGGTAGTAAAATCCTTTGGCTGCAAAACTTGTTTGTAACGAAGGTGTATTAACTTCTTAGAGGCTTTAGCTGAAAACTACTACTCCCTATTTCACTGAAATCTAAGTTGTGAAACCCTTTTTTTTTCCTCTCAAAAGGTCTCTGCCTCAGAAAACTTATTTAGTGGTTACACACGGGGTTTGGCTATGAGGTGTTGTAGGCTATGTGCTGGACTTGTCCTGATAACACCCTGCTTTTAGGTCCTGATGGCTGAGCTCATCACTTGGCTATTGTAATATACACTGGAATTTAACTCTGATCATAAGTATATCACTTGATGTTAGTTTCTGAAACTAAAATATTTCATAAGTAGTAGTGTTAAATGCTTGCTTGCTCTGAAGGATTCTCAGCTGGGAGAGAGCTGGGAAAGCTATTTGGAGTCATCAGCTGCTTAATTTAATGTAATTCTTCATAAACTAGGCAAGTACTTCTAAGCAATTATGTTTTCCACTTTTGTGCTTAAAATATTTCAGTGTACTCTGTGCAAACATTGATTCAACCTCTGATCTTGATTTTTAACATGGAAATTGGCATGTCAGTAAGTGTGCACAGGTGGTGGGATCAGGTTTCTGATGCAAAAGATCACGTGGGAGAATTCAGTCTGAATTTATACAAAGCTGCAGCCTCCATCAGCATTCCTGCTGAAAACTTTGTTCACTGGAGCATTTGCAGAGTGAAGAAAAAGGGTCTTAATCTGTTTGAAAGTGTTTGCAGATGTAAATAATTACTCAAGATTTGTGTCAGTATTTATACGTGGGGTTTTTATTACTTTGGGTCCAGTTCCTAAAGGCTTGAGGCCCAGAGATGATAATATAGACTCCTGCTTGTAGCTGCTTTCTATAGTCTTCTGGCTACTTCTCTTTCAACAAGAAAAATACTGGGAAGTTGTAATCCAATAGCATAAACAGGCTCGGCAGCAAGTGAAAAAGTCTGTGGTGCAGAGGTTCAAAACAGATGAGACAGGCTTCACTGGGGAATATGAGAGGTGAAGCGTAGCCCAGACTAATAAATTCTCTTCTATTGGCCCTGCATGGGTCTGCTTAAGTATTTCAGCCCTGCATTTCTGGAGCTGAGAGTGCTGTGGTTTGGCAGAGCCAGCCAAAAACAGCCCAGTTTATTAGCTTGCTCTGAGTACTGGGGTGCCTGGAGTGGAGGCAGCATGAGGAGCAAGAGCAGCTGCAGAGAACCAGGAATGAGTGAGGATGAGTGGATGCAATGACAGGTCTGGAATGGTCACCAGAGGAGAGGGGAGCCAACAGCAGGAGTCAGTGAGGCAAGGGAGCATCACCAGATTTCTGAAGCAAGGTTTAGTTACAGAGAGATACAGCAGAGCATGGAGCACTCTGGGTGCTGCCTGGAGGCTGGCAGGGAAGGAAGATCATATTTGCAGCTGACAAGAAAAGAGGTAAATTGGTTTCACTGCTGATCTTTCGACTAGGTTTGTTTGCAACAAAAATCTTTTAAGGAAGGAGGGAGGTTTGTCTCCCATCCCAGCTAAAAACATCACAGGACGGTAATGCTCTCCCCATCCACACAGGATCAGATTGTCCACATCCCTTACCATGCACAGCTGAATTCTTTGCTTATTGAAACAAAAACCCCAATTTTCAAGCAGCTGAAAAGACTGAAAGGTGTCCCAAACCGTCAAAAGAGCCACAGAGATGTGTTAATAGGCCCTCTCAAATTACAGGGCACGGTCTTGCCTGGATCAAGAAGGAAGGTCATATTGCAAACTGGTTTTTTTCCTCTAACTGCCTTGTCAAAAATACTGTTTTTAATGTCTTTTCCTTCATCAGAGAGGCAACCTGCAGTCCCAGTGGATGGCTGCTACTGCACTGCAACTCCAGCAGCTGGAGAGCCATTCAGGCAGGACTGGAAGTCCATGAGAGCCTGAAAAACCTTTGAGCATGGCAATGCCGGGGTAACTTGATAGCAGCAAGCTGCATACAGGGGCCTTATCAGTAATTAAACAACACACTTCTGCGAACAGTGAAATAAAGCTATTTGGTCGTGTAAATTAATCCAGTGAGATACCTTGAAATGTGTGATTAATGTGCACCTCAGGAGGACTCAGATAATTCTGGAAGCGTACCAGGTTACTGGTATTTCTTTAAAATAGTGACCGTGCATAATCTCATGAGTTCCATTAGCAGGAGCTTCTCTGCCATGTGATACCAGTACTTGCAACTGGCTCTGAGCAGAGATGAGCAGAGATGAACAGAGATGCTTTGTCAACTCAAAATTTATAAGTCTGTGCTTTTGGTTCAGGGTCTTCGCCCCTTACAATGGCTCTGGAGCTTGAAGTAGCTGTGTTACACTGCATGATGACAGGCATGAAATTCTTAGTTAGCAGCAGATCTGTGGTGTTATTAAATTTAAAATGAAAAAATATTGTGGAAGGAAAAGATACAGTCTTGGTGAATGGGGAAGCCAATAAATCAAAGACCTATTAGGATAACTGTACAAAACTTCAGTGACTGGAAATTTAAATGCTCTCAGAATGTAAGCAGCATTCCTTTGGGGAAATACACACTTTTCCTCATATTTGCCTCCTGGGTATTGTAGCACTTCCAGTTACCAAAAACTAGAATCAAGGAGAAACCACCTTGAGACTTACAGAACTTTTCCTTCCTGCAAAGAAATTTCCAAACCAGAACTTCCTGCTGAAAATTCTGCACCAATCAACTGTGTGCGGTCCCTAAATTACCCTATGAACTATGCACTCTAGTGCACTGCACGCTTTTCTCGCGCGTCCGTGGGAAGCCTAACACGAATCCATATTCCAACTGGACATGCCGTTTTCTAAGAACATTGTAAAACATTTAAAAATCGCTTCTTCTCTCTAAAACAGAAGCGTGGTTGTGCTAGCAAAGCGAGGGGCAGCTCTGGAGCGATTCGCAGGTGTCACGGTCCAGCAAGAGCCAAAGAAGAGTTACTTCAGCCATTTGGAGGCAAGCTCGCCCCAGCGAGCAGCTCAGGTGAGGCGGGAGAGTCCCGAGGCGCCGGGAACTCCCCCTGGGCGATAGCGCTCGCTGAGGGAGCGCCGCGGGAGCACCTGGCGGCCCGGGCGGCGGGGCGGGCGGAACGAGCGCAGCGGGCGGCGCGGAACCGGCGGCGGGTACCGGGCCGGGCAGCGGCAGCGCCGTCCCGGCGGGTACCGGGCCGGGCAGCGGGGCCAGGGCAGGGTCCCCGTCCGGGGGCCGCGGCGGGGACAGGGAGGTGCCGGCGGCGGGGACAGGGAGGTGCCGGCAGCGGGGACAGGGAGGTGCCGGCGGCGGGGACAGGGAGGTGCCGGCAGCGGGGACAGGGAGGTGCCGGCAGCGGGGACAGGGAGGTGCCGGCAGCGGGCAGCCGGAGCTGCCCCGACGGAGGCGGCCGAGTCTCTGCGATTCCCATCGACTTTGCGAGATGCAGGCAGGTAGGAAAGTAGTAACTGTTTTTAAGTACTGGAGAATTGAATCTTCATACAAATTAGGTCCGAGGTTCAGTTGTACTTAGAACAGTTTCGACGTGGTATTGCTGTATGAAAATGGCCTTCTAAAATTCAACTATTTTGTGTGAATTAGTAGCTAAGTGTTGGCACAGGCCAGCAATAGCTAATTAGATCCTCTTCATCTACACTTCAAGTAATTAGAGATGTGTTTTAGTCAAAACTCCAAAGGAAGTTGTGAATATAGCTAGACAGTTTCCCTCTGCGTGGGATGAAATTAGCATCAGAAAACACGTATTTACTGACGTTATGTCCTTCTGTATCCAAGAGCACTGCTAAAGTAGCAGGTATAATTGTAGGCTGTTTGAAGTTTCACAGTTGTTGAATCCATACCATGAAGCTGGATTCCTGGGTGTTTTGGATCACTCTGGTTGTTAAACAGCAATCTGAAATAATACCATCATTAATTAAGCTGATCTTGTAACTAACTCTCCTTTGATGGGGATTTGATTTCTCTAGATAAGAATGAAAAGGTCGCTATTGTGACTGTTCCTACAATGCATGCTCCCAGTCAGTCTGCTGTAATTGTGCAGGAGAATAACAAGATCTCAGCATGTCCTACAGCCGTCCAGTGCCTTCCCATCTAAAAGATCCTGTGAGCACCCACTCCTTGGAGCTGGACCCTTGCAGTCCTAACCCTCAGTCTCTGATCTGTGCAGGCTCAGGATTTTCCCAGTGATACTTGCTGAATGCATTGAGGTTTGCTGCTTTATGTTTTTATGCCTTTAGTTTTTACAGTGGTGATTAGTTGGGTGTCCAAGCTGTCCAGGCATTCAGAAGCAAGATGTACCTTGATAAGCTCTTCCTGGAGAGTCCAAGTCCATATCAGGGAATCAGCACTACTTAAAAACCATGCAAGGGAATACATTGCCGTGCCTTCCCACCACCACCCCCCCCTCCTGTTCTTTCTAGATTGTTTCTATAGCTGTTAGACACATGTGAAGAATCAAGTTCTGATTTTGCATCTTTCATTTCTCAAGAGAGTGCTAGATCCATAAACCTTTGTGCTAATCTGGGCTGGTGGCCTCTGGCTTCTTACTTATGAAACAATTTCACCTTGCTTTCAGAACACAAATATTCATTAGGTGAGTTTGATCTTACAACTCAGTGGCTAGGGCATAAATCCTAAATCCAGAAGTGGGGAAGTTTTAATTTTTTGTCCTTTTTCCAACTGTATGCTAAATATTAAAAAATATATTTGCAGAATGCATGTAGTTAAGCAATACTTAATTTCAAGAGAATACATTTATTACTAAAGTGTCCCTTGATTCTTGCCAATACTTATAAAAATGACACCTACTAAAAACGTTGCACCCAGAGGGTATGTTGGACTTCACTGATGCCACATGAATTCCACTGCCCTCCCCTGCATTTAATTTAGGTGATGGATCCCCAGGTGGTTAATTTCTCTTTCTTCTTCTGCTGTGGAAAGAATGAATGTGGGTGGGATTGTTCAGTCAGTCATGTGTGTGTAGGCTATTAATTTACAACGTTGGAAAAAAAGTTTAGGCACTGGTCTCTTTTTCTTTGTCCTAAACCTCAGGCTTAGTTGTTTTCCTTGTTTGTTCTGTCACTTGTTTAGTATGTGCTGGTTTGCTTTTCACTCAGCCTCCATTCATCCTACTACTGGTGGGTGGTTTAGTTTCAGTTGTAAGTTACTCTAAATGCACTCCCCAGGGCTGGGGCTTGGCTGTGAAATGGGCAGTCCTACTCTGTCCCCCCGTTTTCCCCACTGCATTCTGACCCCACCTTGTGCGGTCAACCGCAGGGAGAGTTAAAAACCTACTTATTTTTTTAAATGAAAAAAAAAGTTTGTTTATTTTGGTCATTTAATTTTGTATCTAATCAGTGAGCTGGGCGAGCTCACTGTGCAGCTGCATGTTTACTGGGTCCTGCAGGAACAGCTTTGGCAAGGCAGAGCTGAACAGCCCCCCCAGTAGCAGCCAGCCCTTTCAGCAAGTTTGGGACAGGCAGGTGCAGCCCCCGTGTGTGGTGGGCAGAGCCAGAGGACCTGCCTTACCAGGACAGCCTCAGCTAGGGAGCCAGAGTTTGGCTAGCTTAGGTCCCCTGTCTTGTCTCTCCTATCTGCTGTGGCTTATACTAGCAGTATACTTTGACTTTGGTGAAATGTTTATTGAACTTTTTTTGCTTGATTAAGGTGCTATTTACTTCATTTAGTGAATTTTATGTGATACATACCCTAACCTGTTTCTCCCCTCTTTGGACTCTTGTTTAATTTTATAGGAGAATGGCTTTGTTTACTCTGAATTGCTATCTCCCCAGATACCTTAAATCTGGTAAATATTCTCTCTAATCTAAGTAGGACAACACCCAATCTCTGTCAGCAGAGAACTTAATATCTAATCTCTTTAAAGTGAAAGGCAGAGCAAGCTCTGACTTGAAGTAGACCAGTCTCTGAGTTAAGCCATGTTGTCGTTCTAGTTAGTAATGCTGCTCAGGATTAATTAATCAGAAGGATTGCTTATGCAGAGAGAATTTAGGTTGATAGCCTTTTCCAGGATGGATCTTCACATCTAAACTGAGAAGCCTCATGTGGGAAGAGGTCCAGAACCTGGGTTTGCTTGAGCTTCTTTGTGTTCCAATATATTTTTTAATGAATTTAATACATCAAACCATGCAAAATTGGTGAGGATACTTGTCTTAAGTTTAGTATGAGTATTTGTTTGCCTGTCATTGCAGCTGAAGTTTGCACTAATTCAGTGCCAAAAAGAAATTATGTCGTCAATCTGGTACTTATCTTTCCTGTAAATTGTACTCTGGTGATTTTGTTTTGAATCTTTGTTTTTCAGTGATCTAATAGTCAGACTTAAACTGGAGAGAACAGATAATTAGGTCCCCAATGAAGGGTGTTGATGTTTGGGGGGTCCTTGTGATCACTGCAATGGCCTGAGGAATGAGTTTTGGAGATTCTCCTTTGGCAATTAAACCAGCTTTGAAAAAAGCAGTCTAGAAGGGCCATGCCCTAATGACTTTGAAACCTCCATGGCATTCCATTAATTTAGCAGCTGTGCTTTGGAGCCTGGATTTGAGCTGGTGCAGGCTGCTGCAGCCTGGGCAGGGGTGCCTGGCTCTGGGCCCCGCAGCCCCTGTGGGGGTGTGTGAATGCACACAGTGCCTCAGCTCCGGCTGAAGCATGGAGAGCCTGAGGCTGCCTGGCTTTGGTGAGACAGCCTCATCAACAGAGCTGATGGGGAGGGGGGCCCTTCTCTCTGAAGGAATGCATCCCCTCTCTCCCAGAGTTGTCGTGCCTCTGGGCAGAGGGGCTGGATGTGGCTTTGCCCACCCTGCTTGTTGAAACTGGGTCAGGTCAGGTGGGACATGTGGTCCTTGACCAGGACTTGTCAGGGGCTGGAGAAATGCGAGGCTGTGGCAGAACTCTCTATAAAATTCAGGCCTGCAGTCAGTCCACTGTGTTCATACATCTTCCAATAAGGAAAGCACCTGCCATGCAGAGAGGAGGGTTAGTCAGGATAAGGTTTAAAAGTCACTTGAGCAGTGCCTTTGTGGTTAGTGGTGAATTGATACAAAAGCAAGTTATATCCTGTTTCTGAGAGAAATTTTGTTGTTTAACTCTCCTAAGTGACAGCAAAACATTCTCAAGACCAGTTTAATTTTGCAGTAAGGAGAAATTCTAAAACTTTTAATTCTGTGTTGATTTTGTTGGGTTTTCTTTCTCCATTATTTACTTTTGCAAAAGGGGCTTGTTGGCCTCTAGACTGGGAACTTTCTCTGACTTTCCCATTCAGGTTCTCTGTCTTCTCAGCAGTGACCAGAGTTGCAAAAAATTTATTCCATGAGGCCTTAATAAAACACAGAACATCTGCCTAAATTACTCTGGCTTTCATTCCATTCAGTGGTATATGCACTTCCAGATCTAATTTTTCACCAGTGTGTGAAATCATGGGGCCAAAATCTCTCAGGAAGAGAGATTTAACCTCAATAGGTTTTTTTTTAATAACCCATAAATTTATGGTATAGTTGTTGTTCGCTGTGTTGTTAAACAGTTCTGTCCTAAGGGAAAACAGGGAATGGTAGCTTCATGCTGCCAGCTTCTGCTCTCAGGACCTTTGTCTTCTCAGAAGGGAGCAGAGCCCCACCACCATGCCCCAGAATTGTAGCAGCATTTGGCCAATAATGACTGGGATCTTAGATAGTGCCATTAAATTGAGACAGTTTTGATTTCTGCTGTTTCTCCCCATGTCTGTGCAAACTCCTTGAAAAATGCCTCTGTTACACAATGCCTGGTTACCACTCATCTGGCTGGGCAGCTGCCAACAGCTCCAGCTAGTACAGCTCTCCAAGAGGCACTGCTGGGGCTGTTACAGTAGTTCTGGGTTCCTGGTCTGGGTGGATTTCATGCAAAAAGTAATAAATAGTTGTACTTTATAAGGACAGTATCCTTCTGGACTTTTATTTTAGTGTGTGTTTAGGCAGCTTCCTGAGCTCAGTACACATGCCCTGCGGAACCATGCTCCCAGTCTGGTTTGGATTTGAATTATTTAAGATCAGTTCCCATTTCCTGTTCTTGATTCATTCGTTTAACCTGTTTTCATATATGAAATGTACTTGAGTCACCTTTTCTTTCTTAATCTCAGACAGTCTTTCAGCTTTTATCTGTACAACCTACAAATTTGCTTCCTCTCACCACTGTGTAACTGGTTCTACAATGAGAGTATGGAGCAGAACTGGGAATCCTCACCGATTGGAAACTCCATAATTGACTGGTTTTTTGTTTTCATCATGAAACGATAACAATTATGTATTAAAAACTATTAAAAAACTGCTTCACCTAAAACAAAGCAGCATGTGCCCAAGTATATGTTAAGAAATTAAAACAAGAAATTAATTCCTGTTTTAATAGTAACGAAACTATTATTCCATGCAAAACTACTTAGATTTCCTTCTTT